AGACAGACAGACAGACAGACAGACAGACAGACAGACAGACAGACAGAGACAGACACAGACAGACACAGACAGACACAGACAGACAGAGACAGACAGACAGACACAGACAGACACAGACAGACACAGACAGACACAGACAGACACAGACAGACACAGACAGACACAGACAGACACAGACAGACACAGACAGAGACAGACAGAGACAGACAGAGACAGACAGAGACAGACAGAGACAGACAGAGACAGACAGAGACAGACAGAGACAGACAGAGACAGACAGAGACAGACAGACACAGAGACAGACACAGAGACAGACACAGAGACAGACACAGAGACAGACACAGAGACAGAGACAGAGACAGAGACAGAGACAGAGACACAGACACAGACACAGACACAGACAGAGACAGACAGACAGACAGACAGACAGACAGGCTCAAGGCCGTGAGCTCTCAAGGTCGCCCCCAAAAACCGACCAAGTGCGCCTCCCGCGGCACCGCGCTACACACACATCACGTGTGAATTTCCTCGGCAACCCTACTCCTTTGAGTTCCCCGGTGGCCCTGGACTATTCCCGTGATAGAGACTGTCACAGAGGAGGTGAACTGTTTCCACCTGGCCTTTGAGACCGGTGCCTCAACTTGCGGGATTTCTTGAACCATACTGGGGCAACAGCACTAGCAACCCGGGGCACACTTGGCCCAAGAAGTCATACCAGGAGGCTTTGTTGGAGACACCGCCAGGTTTGGCAAAGCTCAAACCATTGCGGAGACCCAAAGACCAACAAGCAGCCTCAGACCTACTGGCATCCACATGGGATGTCATTCCAAAGAGCATCCGGGCTAAGCTACAAGCCCTTGGCCTAGGCCCAAAGCAGCCTGCAGAACCGGAACTCACGGACCTGAGCGCTTGTGGACAGCTGGATGGATCCCACTGGAGCCGCAGGAGCATCGACGCATGCTACATCCCTGCCAACAACATGGGTGCTGGAAAACACTTCAATGTCAAGCCTTAGCTCCGCGCCAGCATCAGGGCTGGGCCCTTAGATGCCACACCCTCCACTTATGACCAGCGCGGCCAGGTGCGGGTTTTTGGGCTCTGTGCACGCACGATGACCCTGGGACAGATGCAGAGGCTGGGTGCCGTCACAGGTATTCCCACAAGTCCTCACACCCCTGCGCGGGTCACACTACTCTACGTCAGAAGGCGACAACGAGATGCCGCATGGGAAAGGCCAACAATCTCCGCGACCGCAACAGCTCTTCCTGGCAACACACCTTGGACCAGGACCACGCTGTGATATATCAGCGCGCCGTGGCCAGGCTGGCCCTGATCTATGCGCTACATCCACAACAAGGTGCCCAGGCGCCAGGGCCGCCAGACAAAGCAGCGCAAGAAGCATCTGGTAGGGCGGTGCAAACAAGCATGGCAAGCGCCGCACCATCGATGGGAACCACACCGCAGCGGGTTCCATTGCAGTGCCTGTGCTCACCAGGGTCTGACGGTGACGGTCCTTGAGACAGGACTCCAAGAGGCATGCCCACAGTTGAGCTTGGAGGACGCCAATCCAGCACTACAGCCCTACCATGCATGCCTAAGAAGCAGACCCGAGCACAACTGATAAAGCACATCCTCACGGTCCAGGCAGAGCATCCGCCTACGGTTGATCAACACCACTTCGCTGAGACGACTGGCTACATCCGTTGTCAGAAGTGTGGCATCAGCGCACACAAACGCATCAATGAGCAGGCATTCCAGCTCTTCATTGGCAGTCCCTGCGTTGACCAGGCTTACTTCGGAGCTCCATGCTGATGCTGGGCACCACAGCCACAGACAATCAGACAGCCAGTCAGACAGACAGACAGACAGACACAGACAGACACAGACAGACACAGACACACACAGACAGACACAGACGCAGACAGACACAGACAGACACAGACACAGACGCAGACAGACACAGACACAGACGCAGACAGACACAGACGCAGACAGACACAGACGCA